CATCATCGGCAGATACCGATAGAGCTGCTTATATATCATCCATAACTATAGTTTGCAAAATTCAGATTTTTTTTTTACTTGATTTAATCAAGGATTCCTTCAATTTAAAGAAGTGGTCAATACAAACACTTCTGAATGTTCAAAAGGATTATATTTTAAATAAATGCAGTTATTCAGATCGTTCACAATAGAAACCAGATTAAAAAAAAAAAAAACTAGTGCTGGGCAAAAATGAATCATGCAATATAAAAGTTTGTTTTGACATACTATATCTGTGTGTACTGTGCATATGTATAATGTATGTGTAATATACAGCATGTAATGAATATATAAGACTCACACATATATTATTTCAAGACAAACTTTTATTTTGACAGCGATTCATCTTTGCTCTGCAATAACATTTAACTTTTTTTTTTTATGAAATAAAAGAGCCCATACTGTGGCTGGTCCATTTTGAGCACACTGGTTTAAGTAAACAGACTCACCGTAAGCGTGGTACAGGGTGCATGGAGCATCTGAACAGGTCAGGAACATTTCCAGCGAACAGAAGCGTGTTGACTCCTCTCCATTTCAAACAATCCCCACACTGAATCCACGTCACATCACTTTAAACACAGCAAACCAGAAACACAGCAGCTCAGTCTGAGGAGTTTAACACATTCATTTTGCCCTCCTGTGCTGATGTGTCTTACACTGCGTGAAATCTATAATGGCAGAGGCAGACTAGAGAAAGTCAAATAGATGTGGACTTTTATTTTGGGAAACATTTAATTTTACTTGACTGTCACTTCCAAAGCATTATACTGAATAAAAAGTACTAGTTAAAAGATTCACTGATTCAGTAATCTAGTTAGAGCGAGTCTCTAGTTAATGATTCACTGATTCAGTAATCTGGACAGAGAGTATCCAGTTAATGACTCAATGATTCAATAATCTGATCAGAGTGAGTCTATAGTTAAAGATTCACTGATTCAATAATCTGATCAGAGTGAGTCTATAGTTAAAGATTCACTGATTCATTGATCTGGTGAGAGCGAATCTCTAGTTAAAGATTCACTGATTCAATGATCTGGTCAGAGTGAATCTCCAGTTAAGGATTCACATAATCAATAATCTAAACAGAGTGAGTCTCCAGTTAAAAAAATTTAATGATTCAATGATCTGATCAGAGTGAGTGTACAATTAAAGATTCACTGATTCAATAATCTGGTCAGAGCGAGTCTCCAGTTAAAGATTCACTGATTCTCAGTAATCTGGTCAGATTGAATCACCAGTTAATTATTCATTGATTCAATAATCTGGTCAGAGCAAGTCTACAGTTATTGATTCACTGATTCAACAGAGTGAGACTCCAGTTAAAGAGTCACTGATTCTCAGTAATCTGGTCAGAGCAAGTCTCCAGTTGACGATTCAATGATTCAGTTATCTGGTCAGAGCAAGTCTACAGTTATTGATTCACTGATTCAACAGAGTGAGTCTCCAGTTAAAGAGTCACTGATTCAATAATCTTGTCAGAGTGAGTCTCTTGGTAACGATTCACTGATTCAATAATTTGGTCAAAGTGAATCTCCGGCATTTTAGCATTTCTGATTCTCAAATTCAGATTTTTTTTTTTATTAAACTTTAAACATTTCACCTCTGCTGATTGTTTCTGCTTGGCTTGAGAACCTTTGAGAAGCTCATTAGAGATGTTTAGTGTGGTGTTTCAGCTGCCGCATGCTTTCTGCTGTGCACCACACACACACTCTATGGCTTTATCCGTGTGATTAACAGTTTCTCAGCGCCGCCCACCTTTTTTTAACAGCTCGACTCGACCCTTGCCATCATAACACACAGTCTCTGCACGTGCGCTTGCTGTCGTGCGTTTATGAGTGAGCTCTGTGGTCTAACAGAAAAATAGCCTGTCAGTTTTTAGTAAAGATGAGTTGCACCATCTCTCTTATTTTTACCCACAAAGGCTCAACTCAACTCTCACCGACAGATGCGAGTCGCTGTGTGTGAAAACTACTGTGTGAAAGGTTTTGAAGGGAGAAAATCATACGCTTCCTCTTCCTCTTCATCATCGTCTTCCTCTTCCTCGGTTTCCTCGGTGTCTCCTTCTTGGCTTTTTCTCTCCAAGGCCTGAAACGCTCGCTCTTTCGCTTTCTTTTCCTTCTTTTCCCGCCAGTAGTCATTCAGCTTGAGGCCGAGAGCAGCTAATGTGAGTCTGGGAGGAAAACAGCAGGATATGCAGTTAATACAATTTTAATAAACAGCAAAAGATCAAGAGAAACTTTTTTTCTCGTAAATTGAAAAAAAAAAAAATTTTGCTAATAAATTTAGAATTTTAATGCATTATTTTTCTACTCCTAAAGATGTTCGGTGACACTTATTTTAATCTCAAACTCTTATTGTAATGGTTATAACTGTTTACCAGAACTGTTTTGTTTAAATTCAACAAAAATTGTTCATATTAACTAAGAAATTGTTATATTATATGATATTAATGAATGTATAAATTCGATTAATGTTAATTCGATATTATGTATGTATGTATATATATATATATATATATATGTGTATATATATATATATATGTGTATATATATATATATATGTGTATATATATATATATATGTGTATATATATATATATATGTGTATATATATATATATATATATATATATATATATATATATATATATCTATATATATTTAAATTTATACAACAGTTCAGCTATTTTTCAGTGTTAATTATTGCGATCTCCCGATTGCAGCAGAGAAATACTGGGAAATCTCTGTAGACTGAAGGCATTTCATGCTGTTCAGCCTTATAATCCTACAATGTGAGCAAAATCACCTGTTTTGTCATCACTTTAGACATTACGCTAGAGAACCATTCAAACACTAGCTCTAAAGTGAAGTTGGTGTAGAAGTAACGGCTTCTGCTGTTCTGATGGTCAGCTGCAGATGTGTATAAATGGTGGAAGAAAGTAGTTCCTCTTACAAAAGGGTTTTTAGACTCTTGTGTTTGATTTTCTTTTTTATTTACATGATTATGCTGTCGAACTGCAATATCAGACAAGTAGCAGTGCTGTATAGCGACACTAGTGGGATACTAAGGCACTTGACCTGCGGCCTCGAGCCAATGCACACCTCCTAATGGTGCCGATATACAGCCGTATGATACTTGTGTGATATTGCTCATTTATAGAGCAACTGACTTCCATGAGGAAGGTCGCCAGTTCGATCCCAGCTCGGAGTGGGTTGGGTGGGGTAGGATCCGGCGGGGTCATATTGGTGCCATGACCCGGATGAGAGTGAGGCTCAGGTGGGTGAGTGTAACGGAGGCCAGCTAGTGTGTGCTGTGCAGGTAAACCTCACTCCTCTGACCTCTAAAGGTGCTCTAGTAACAGACGCTAGAGGTCATGGTCTTTAGCCTCTTTGGTAGAGCAACCGACTCCCTTGTGGAAGATCGCCAGGTTCGAAATCAGCTCGGAGCAGGCTGAGTGGTGTAGGACCGGCAGGGTTACATATGTGTATATACACACACACACACACTTAATTTTATTATATATATATATATTTACAATTAATATATACACACTTAATTGATATTTTTTGTTGTGTACTGAAGAGTTAATTTACAGAAAAAGCATGATTTTTAATAAGCAGTAAACAACTAAATTGTTTGTTTTTGCAAATTAGCTCTTCATAAGCAAGCAGACAGACTTTTTAAGTTGTAAATACATTTATAACCAAAACCTTAAAGTGATACTTTACAAAATAAAAATCTGAAACCATATTAAATGGATAACATCTAGTGCTTTTAATCATTTTTTTTTGTACATGTACAGCTATTTCTTTCTAAAATTCATTCATTCATTATTTTTGCTTCCGCTTAGTCCTTTTATTCATCAGGGGTCGCCACAGCGGAATAACCTGACAACTATTCCAGCATATGCTTTACACAGTGGATGCCCTTCCAGTTGCAAACCAGCACTGGGAAACACCCATAGACTCTCTCACACACACAACTCATACACTACGGCCAATTTAGTTGATCATTTCCCCTATAGCGCATGTGTTTGGACTGTGGGGGAAACCGGAACACCCGGAGGAAACCCACACCAACACGGGGAGAACATGCAAACTCCACACAGAAATGCCTACTGAGCCAACCGGGACTCGAACCAGTGACGTTCTTACTATTAGGCCACAGTGCTTATCTCTGAGCCACTGTGCCACCCCTAAAATTTTATTTTACAGTAAGAATTAAATATAAAACGTTCTATACATATAGTAAAATCATGACTTATTCTCAGGTTATTATATAATTTTTAAATGATGTTATTTTAAAAAAAAGTTGTTATTTTGATATTTTTGAACACATAAAAAAACATTAAACATAAAAAATAATGAAAACATAAGCATGCAGACATTTTATTGTGCTAAAGTCTGCACTTGAACCCATTGTTAGTGATCCACAGCTCCTTTATAAGTGAAATAAGGCATTATCTGATCTGAAGTCAGCGGAGAGCTGCTGAAATGCACCTGTACTCTTTGGTGTACTCAAAGTCTTGCTTATTGTGAGCAGGTTTGAGGAAATTGCATTCGATCACTCCGATGACGCCGACCCCTGACCTCTGACCTGATGACTTAAAGGAGAGAGAAACAGACGATGAGTCAAAAACACAGACACCAGCAACACACGGACAGACTTAGGGGAATTTTAGAGCTGACCAAAAGTGATATCTCAATAGTTTTGCTTCCCACACCAATAATTAAACATTGTTTTGCTGAGTGTGTTTGTATTGCTGTTGTTTTCTAATTCATAATTACACAATATAAGTAATTACATTATTACAATACAATGTAAGGGATAGTTCACCTCAAAAAAATGTGCTTACTATTTACTAACTCTGAAGTGGTTCTTTTTCTGTTGAACACAAAGGAAGATATTTTGAAGAATGTTGGAAACCTGTAACCATTGACTTCCATAGTTGGAAAAACAAATACTATGGAAGTTAATGGTTACAGGTTTCCAACATTCTTCATAATATCTTCCTTTGTGTTCAACAGAATAAAGAATGGGTTTGTGACAAGTAAATGATGACAGAATTGTTTAGGAATTGTTTATTTCTAGGAGAACTATCCCTTTAATGAGTGAACAACTGAATCATTCAATCAAATGACTTGTTCAAATGAGCTGATTTGTTTTAAAACCAAGCGAGTTACTCTTTTTAAATGAATCAGACTCTGCTTTGGCTTTGTTTAGAACTATTTTCATGAACAACTGAATCACTCATTTAAATGATTTGTTAAAAAGAGTAGATTCATTTTAAAACTAACCAAGTGACTCTTTTTAAATTAATCAGAGTCTGCTCTGGCTTTGTTTACAACTATTTTCAAGAACAACTGAATCATTCATTCAAATGATTTGTTCAAAAGAACCGATTCATTTTAAAACTAACAAAGTAACTCTTTTTAAATGAATCAGAGTCTACTTTGGCTTTGTTTAGAACTTTTTCATGAACAACTGAATCACTCATTCAAATGATTCATTCAAAAGAGTCGATTCATTTCGAAACCAAACAAGTGACTCATTTTGAGTGAATTAAAGTCTGTTTTGGCTTTGTTTGGAACTATTTTTATCAGCAAAACACGCAATATTTTGTCAAAAATGTACAGTAATTTCAATTGTGTTTTTATTTGTTTGCTATTGTTTTTTTTGTGCAAAGTGAGTGACATCATATTTCAACACAAAAAAATCACCCACCGCTAACTTTTGCTTGTTAACATAAAGCTTTTTGTTATAAAGCAAATTTTTACACAGTATTTGTCTATATTTAGTGAAAATGAGATTTTTAGACCTTTTCAGTGTTTTGACGTACCTTAATTTGGCAGCCGACCTTCTCATAGGCCTTTATGAGTCTGTTTTTATGGTACATCATAATTCCAAAGTGCTCCTTATTTTTCCCATTGAATCCAAATGTTATTTTCACTCTCTCGTTCTGTGCCACAGCGTTTAAAGAAAACACTAAAATGAGCTGCATCAAATGCAAAACAATCACAAACAGATCAGAAATGGTTCTTCAGCTGATGAATTATGAGTGTAAGGATACGATGAACTGCGGTTTATAGACGTCGTTCTCTATCATGGACAGACTCTTGGCCACAAGCTTGGTCTGAACTTTCCTCTGTCTCAAAATGATCTGAATCCTGGGCTTCAGATAAAGGATACTGAGATACGCCTGCAAAAAAACACAGCTCAGTCAGTGCTCAATTTTAACATTTAACATTTCATTTCCCTTAACTGTGACCGTCCCGCCATCAGGATGCTTATGGTTAAATTATGCTTAAATGCTTTTTTCGCAATTAAATCCTAATCTAAACATGACAAATATGAGTCATTGGAAAGGTCTAAGACTTCTGAATACATATTTATTTTTGTTTTGTAGGAAGAGCAATAGATCAGAACACATTTACTGTCACCCTAGTAAATGACAAAATTTACCATTACATATTTAAACTATGATATTGTAATCTAAACATAAAGCAATCATGACGATTGATATATCATTTGAAGGCTTAAATTTTCTGTTTTCCATATCTGGTGAATGATTTTTGATATTACTATGCAACAGTTATTTATTAGTTCGCAACAAGGATACGTAAAGCATTACTTTGCTACAGCAATCCACATGTATACTTGTTTTAGTGGCTAAAATCAAAACAAATACTACTTAAAAATTTTACTGTATGTCTGCTATACAAATATTGTCAAAAGTATGAAAAAACACTGTTTATATTCCTCAAAACATAGGGGGCGCTGTTGTATGGTCACCAATGGAAACTGAATTACCAACACAATCTCACGGCAATTTGTAATTTTTTGATTTAGTGGCTATTTCGTATGAATTCGTACGATCTAATTCGTACAATTTAGTACGACTTGCTCATCCCCCAATGACGGTTGGGTTTAGGGGTGGGGTTAGGTGCCACGCCTCCTTTTTAAAATCATAGAATTTCGAACGACTGAACTCGTACGAATTCGTACGAATTAGCCACTAAACTGGCAAAACGTAAAATACTTACGTTTTCTCGTGAGATAAGGCTGGAATTACACACATAACTCAACACATAACTCATTGTTGGGTTAAACATGTCCTTTTAAGATGAATATTGCACATTTTACTAGCTGCAGATCATGATCTCTGCATTATCTCTGACAGAAGTTGGTTTTATGTTGACATTATACAGTGTTTACGCTCTCTCGGCTCCACCTAAAACTCACACATTTGCATTCACACTGTAACAAGAGCATAGGCCTGCACCAATATCAGGAAGTGTGTCTAGTTTACATATCTGGTGACAGATTTTTCATAGACATTACTGAGCAACAGTTATTTATTCAGTTGCAACTAGGATACTCATTAGGGTTGTAAAGCATTACTTTGCTACAGCAATCCACAAGTATACATGTTTTAGTGGCTAAATTCAAATCAAATACCCTTAAATTGCCCTTACTACTTTACAATATTATGTCTACTTTACAAATATTGTGAAAAGCATGAAAAATGTTCTATTCATAATCCTCAAAACATAGGGGGCGCTGTTGTATGGTCACCAATGGAAACTGAATAACACACCTGACTCAACACATAACTCATTTTTGTTTTAAAATGTCCTTTTAAGATGAATATTGCACATTTTACTAGCTGCAGATCATGATCTCTGCATTATCTCTGACAGAAGTTGGTTTTGTGTTGACTTTATACAGTGTGAACGTTCTCTCAGATCCACCTACAACTCACACATTTGCATTCACACTGTAACAAGAGCACAGACCAGCATCAATATCAGGAAGTTTGTCTAGTTTACATATCTGGTGACAGATTTTTATTCACTTGCAACAAGGATACTCAAAGGACACATAAAGCATTACTTTGCTACAGCAATCCACATGTATTTGTGTTTTTAGTGGCTAAATTCAAATCAGATACCACCAAACTGCCCTTACTAATTTACAATTTTATGTCTACTTTACAAATACTGTCAAAAGTGTTTTTAAAAAATGCGGTTCATAGTCATCAAACATAGGGGGGCGCCCTTGTATGTTCACCAATAGAAACTGAATGTCACCTGTTGGTCATGTCTGGTACTGCAGCCAAACAAAATCTCACTTAAAGGGGTGGTCCAGAATGTTATTTTTAAGGCTTGGTTGTGTTAATAAGATGCAAAGCAATGTGTGCTCATGTTTAACTTGAAGGAAATCGTGTTATTTTTTCATAAATCTCACTTTGATTATACACAGCTACTCAGCTAACATGAAAACGACTGTCATATTTCCTAGTTTCTCTAAAAGGCCCACCCTCAAGTGACTCTGATTGGTCATCATCATAATATGCTGTGATTCGCCGATCGGCTCCACGTCACGCCCTGACAAGCACGCGCGTTTTGTGTAAACAGTCAGTCAGTCAGTCAGTCAACACGTGTCTGTAACGAGTGAAAATGGGATGCGGCTCCTTTAACTGTTTCTGTGCCTTTTAGTGTGTTTATGCGTGTATACGATGAAGTATCTGTAACACGAGAAGCGCATGTGCGCGGGAGAGATTTTTATTGTTCTTTTTCTCTCATGCTCGGATTAAGTTATTTTCTATGGTGACAGAATAAAGCACAAGATGTGAGATGAGACCTTTGTGAGCCTGGATTGATTTGTTTTTGATGTTACACTCCAGTTGGGAAATCATTGCTGTATTTTTTTTTAAATCAATGCGTTACAGGACGTCTTTCATGCATATGCGGAATATGCCTGTGTAAGTAACATGAATCGTTCACATATCTTTTGCGACTTTATTGTCCGAGTTGTAAAACGCATAGCAAAGCTGCCTATAGAGAGAAACTCTGCCGTCTCCCACAGAGAGACGCAGGTGCTGGCCAAGAGTGCGTGTATGTGTATGTGTGTGTGTGCGTTTACAGCCGTTTGATAAATATAGATTTGTAACGTTAGCTAAGTCGTTAGCGGTTACCATAATTTCCCGTTGTTTACATCTTTGCTACAACACACCGTTAAAGTTAGACACTGTACATGTCATGATCAATTTTAACAAATAAAAACACTTACAGGTCATGACTCAGAGTTCACAGCGTCTCCTTGCTCCATCTTTGAGGAGATTTTAACTGAATCCAGCACTGAACTGGGAGAGATTCTGGAAGCTGTGTTTTGTCAAATCATGCTTGCTGTGTATTTTATAGTTCTCTGGAACATAATTAATATTGAACTGTAAGCACTTCTGTGTTTGGGTCGTGTCATTTGGAAGCCCAACAACAGAAACAGAACAGCTCTGTGGAAACAGCAGGATGGCATTTCTCTCTCTGCAGTAACGTTACAGCGCCTATGGCCACGGCCTTTACCTGCGCAGTGTGGGATGCGCAATAACGAACTTTTGTGATCTCACAGGGGGCGGAAGTATTTTTTGTAGTCCCCAAAATTCGTTAATTGTAGGCGTTGCTAAGCTAACTCTGTACAAATCAAGGTCTCCCTTTGCATTAAACTTTGAATATTTTACATTCAGAGATGCTGTTTATGTTCACACAGCTACATTACACATCAACTGAAGTTTAAAATATAATATCGTAGTGGACCACCCCTTTAAAGCTCTTTTTTGACATATCAACTTCAAATTTGGAAAAAATTTGTTCAGATATTTCAGATAGTGCTGATTATTTCAGATAGTACTTATTAGGGTTGCAAAACATTACTTTGCTACAGCAATCCACATGAATACATGTTTTTAAGAGCTAAATTCAAATCAAATACCACCAAACTGACCATACTACTTTACATTTTTATGTCTACTTTACAAATATTGTCTAAAGTGTGAAAAAATACTGTTCATATTTTTCAAAACACAGGGGGCGCTGTTGTATGTTCACTAGTGGAAACTATAAAACACACATAACTCAATAATAATATGTCAATTTAACAATCCCTTTAAGATGAATAATGCACATTTTTACTAGCTACAGATCTTTATCTCTGACAGAAGTTGGTTTTGTGTTGACTTGATATCTCGTGACTGATATATGATAGAGTTTACTGAGCAACTGTTATTTATTTACTTGCAACAAGGATACTCGAATGACTTTGCTACAGCAATCCACATGTAAACATTATGCATACAGTGTGAACGCTCTCAGCTCCACCTACAACTCACACATTTGCATTCACACTGTAACACGAGCACAGAGCAACAATAGTTTCTCTCTTTCTGTTTATTCTTTCTGTTTTTCACTCACTCGGAGAGAAAACTCCATCTCAGGAGTGCTGCTGGTGTCTCTGCGCTGTTTATAATAATCTCTCCTCCACTTTCCCTGCATGTCCTCCGAGCAGATCTCCGGCAGACGGATGTCTTCAACATCGCTGTCAAAATCAAACTCCGGCTTTTCATCTTTATTCCTGCCAGACAAGATTAAAATTCACATTAGAATAGTATTTGTCACTTACAGAGTCATACACATGCAGTGAAATGCTCATATAAACACTCATGACCTTAAAATAATAACAGCGATAACAAAAATAATAATAACAATAAAACATATATAGATAAATAAATAAACAGATATATAGATAATTAAATAAACAGACATATAGATAAATAAATAAAAACAGATATAGATAAATAAATAAACATATAGATAAATAAACAAACAAATAAATAAATAAAACATATATATATATATAGATAAATAAATAAACAGACAGATAAATAAATAAATGAATTATATATATATATATATATATATATATATATATATATATATATATATATATATATATATATATATATATTAATAAATAAACAGATATCTAGTTAAATAAGTAAACAAGCATATAAATAAATAAATAAATAAATAAATAAATAAATAAACGGACATAACATTTGGATAGATAAATAAATAAACTGATATCTAGTTAAATAAATAAACAGACATATATAAATAAATAAATAAACAAACAGACATATAAAAAATAAATAAATAAAAACAGATATAAAGATAAATAAACAGACATATAAATAAATAAATAAACACTTATATAAACAGACATATAGATAAATAAACAAATACATGCATAAACAAATAAATACATAAATAAACAAATACATACATACACAGGTTGGATAGATAGATAGATAGATAGATAGATAGACAGACAGACAGACAGACAGACAGACAGACAGACAGTTAGATAGATAGATAGATAGATAGATAGATAGATAGATAGATAGATAGATAGATAGATAGATAGATAGATAGATAGATAGATACTGTAAACATCCTGATGTTTGATATAAAACATGTACATATAAGTAACATAAAAATAAACATTAAAATAAATGTTGAAAAGTTGGCCTATGTGAGTCTAATTAAATGCATATACACTATTTATTTAAGAAGATTGCACGCTTTTAGGATTAAGCTAACTTGATTTGTTAAACTAAGCAGGGTTAAGGCATTCAAACTAACACAAATCAAAAGAGAGCCGTTCGTCAGCACTCCTATGCTTACAGTATGCAAATGAATGGACACACTGAATATAATGGGTTTCCTCTGTAACATAATTTGCATATTTTATCAGATTGGACTGTTTTCGTGTAACTGTCTTTCAGGAAACATTTTCTAGGCAAAGCATTTTCTAGACAAGCAACAATATGTGGACTTTCTCTTTAAAACGAGCAAAATAATCTGCAAATGGGAGAAGTAAAAACATCTTGTTCTTCCCCCATTGGCAGATTATATTGGGTGTTTTAATGAAAAGCTGACTTAGTTTTGACTTATTATTTCTGAAAACAATGCAATATTATTTAACTTGCTTAACAAATGCTTCTTGATTTAAGGGTCTTAGATATTTGGACTAGAAACGAGGCAGAAACTCAAAGTAAGAACAGAATTTTCATGTAAAAGGACTTGTAAAGCCTGTTTTATGTGTATAGTTAAGTATCTTATAGTATTTGTTAGTTATATCTATGGGTTTTTAAAAAATAAATAACAATACCTCTTATGTCCAGTGTTGTGTTTGTATTCATGATTAATTTATAGAGCATTTGCGAGACAACACTTCGTTCCTCTTTATGTCCAAACGTGCAGCGGAATGACAATAAAGCTTGACCTAACTTGATTTTGCCAACCCAGGCTCAGTCTAATTACGTACCCCTGTATACATTTCTGGAGAGCACCAAATACATGCCAGGAGCTACATTTTTACGGTTTTTCTTTACACAAATCCACCAGAGGCCGATGTGTCTGCTTTTTCAGATCTCAAATTTCTCTCATGAGTGCCATTCATGCCTGCTGTTCTCACGTAAATCCACCAGAGGCCGCTGTCGACTGACTGACTGGTCGACTGACCCACCCTTCTCCTTCCCTGAACCCAACCAACAGTTTTAAAAAGCAATCCAGAAAAAAAAATCGCCTGATTTCTACCACATTTTCAGATTTTATCACATTCTCACCCTGTTATTTACTTCTTTATTTTCTTATTTGGCTTCTGTTTTTGTTTTATGAGACGGCCACAGCCATATCACCCTGCAGCCTAAGACCGGTTACTCACTGAAGCTAAGCAGGGATGAGCCTAGTCAGTACCTGTATGGGAGACCACATGGGAAAGCTAGGTTGCTGTTGGAAGTGGCATTAGTGAGGCCAGCAGGGGGCACTTAACCTGAGTCCTAATGCCCCAGTATAGTTAATGAGATGCTATACTGTCAGTGGGTGCCATCTTTCAGATGAGACCTTAAACCGATGTCTCTGTGGTTGGTAAAAATCCCATGGCACTTCTTATAAAGAAAGGGGTGTAACCCGGTGTCCTGGCCAAATCCCTCTATTGGCTCTTACCCATCAAGGCCTCCCAATCATCCCCATCCACCGAATTGGCTCTATCATTGTCTCTCCACTCCCTCTATAGCTGGTGTGTGGTGAACACACTGGTGCTGTTGTCCTTTGGCTGCTGTCGCATCATCCAGTGCTGCACACAGGTGGTGGTGTGGAGAGACCCCTCCCCCCTCCCCCATGATTGTGAAGTGCTTTTGGGTGTATGGCCATACACAATAAGTGCGCTATATAAATACACACATTACATTATATGCTTTTTAGAACTGTTCTTTGCCAAACTCGAATCCCGTCATCGTGGTCAACTCCTCTCTGCCTCTCAAATCCGCCGACGTACATGGCGAGGCACTGGACAAACTGGTAACAGAGGTAAAGCTTTCCATTTGGAGATAACCAGTCAACGGGTAAGTGTGAAAAGGAATGGCGTCATACCTCCCCGTCGCCTTTGTTTTAAAGACAAAATGCAGCCATATGTATTTCTGGCTACATAATACATGCTCTCCAGGAATGTATATAGGGACACGTTTTCAGAATGAGCCTGTGTTGTTTCTTGCAGTGCATTGCAATACTCAACAACAACATCACATATTTTCCCAGTATGATGCTGTCAACCCAAGCTCATTCTGAAAACGTACCCCCGCGGACGTTTCTCGAGACCGCGATTTACGTGGCCGGAGGTACGTATGGCCCGCATTTGGTTTTTTCGAGCGAACGCTATGGGGCGGTATGATGTCACTCCTCTTCTTCGCGCTCGCCGGCTGTGACGGCTCACTTACCTCCGTGTGGAAGGCTTTCCCGCCGCAACCAGTTTGTCCGCTTAGCTCGTAGTGTTAAGTCGGCGGAGCAGAGGCCCGGTATGATTGTATTTATTTATTAATTTATTTATTTTTTGTGTATTTATTTATTTATTTATTTATTTATTTATTTATTTATTTATTTATTTATTTATGTATGATTGTTTTTATTTACTTATGAATGTCTATTTATTTATTTATTTATTTATTTATTTATTTATTTATATATTCATTTATTTGTGTATGTATGATTTTATTTATTTATTTATTTATTTATTTATTTATTTATGTTTCTAATTATTTATTTATTTGTGTCTGTGTTATTGTATTAATTTATTTTATTTTTTTATTCATTTATCAGTGTGTCTATTTATTTATTTATTTATGATTGTATTTATTTACTTATGAGTGTTTATTTATTTATTTATATATTAATTTATTTGTGTATGTATGATTTTATTTAATTATTTATTTATGTGTGTTTCTATTTATTTATTTATTTATTTGTGTCTGTATTATTGTATTTATTTATTTTTAGTTTTCATTTATGAGTGTGTTATTATTTATTTATTTGTTTATATATATATATATATATATATATATATATATATATATATATATATATATATATATATATATATATATATATATATATATATATATATGACTGCATTTATTTATTTATTTAATTATGTGTGTCTTTTTATTAAATTTATTTGTTTTTTTTGTAAACCGTCGCTTGGTTTTAGGGAAGGAGTAGGAGGGTGGCTGGGTCAGCTGATTGGCCGGCCGCCCAGTCGATCGTTTAGTCATTCAGTCAGTCGGACAGACGGTCACTCGACGCCGGCCTCCGGCGGCTTTTCAGGCGAGAACAGCACAGACGCGAACGGTGCGCGCTCCCAAGAGGCGTTCGAGATGCAAAAAAGCGCGGCACAGCGGCCTCTCGCGGATTCGCGAAAACAAAAACTGCACAAATACGTACCTCCCGGGACATATTTCGCGGTCTCCAGAAACATCCGCGGGGCTACGTTTCCACAATGAGCCTGGGTTGGATGCTGTATTAATGCTGAAACTGACCTGCGGATGTTCCAGATGAGTATTTTGGTGCCTTTCTTGCCCTGTATGGAGTCCAGCTGCTCCTGTAACTCCGACTCGCTCTGGAATAAAGAGTATTTGAGGATTGCTCTCAGACTCGCCTCCGAATCCTCCGTAACCACCAGCGCATGTGAGACGGGAGTTAAAGGCTGTGTTTGAGGATGGAGATGATCTGCATTTGACATTATTACTACTGCATGCATCTTTAAACATTCGTTCATTCATTTTCCTTCGGCTTAGTTCATTCATTCATCAGGGGTCGCCACAGCAGAATGAACCGCCAACTATTCCGGCATAAATGCTCTTGTTAGCGCTTTGAGTCTGAGAAAAGCACAGTATAAATAAAATGTATTATTATTATGTGTTTTACACAGCGGATGCCCTTCCAGCCGCAACCTAGTACTGGGAAACACCCATACACACTCATTCACACTCATACACTAAGGACAATTTATACCCTATAGCACATGTGTTTGGACTGTAGGGGAAACCGAAGCACCTGGAGGAAACCCACGCCAACACGGGGAGAACATGCAAACTCCACGCAGAAATGCTAACTGATGGGACTCGAACCAGTGATCTTTTTGCTGTGAGGCCACAGTGCTAACCCCCGTGTCGCCCCATCTTTAAACACACACAAAATGCCAATATGAGTTAGCATCAGAAGGATATTGGTCTGCTGGTTGAACGGAGCGATGGGTACGATCACAGCCTGGGCTTTAATAGCCTGTAAGAAGCTTTGCGACAGCATCCCGACACTCTGACAGCCGCCGTTCTTGGTGAAGATCAGAGCGTCTCGACCCAAACGCATCGACCCAGACTTAAACCCATTCCCATACACACCAATGGGCTGATGACTGCTTTTACTGGAGCCTTTCTCTGTGAACCCGAAACTGCACACAGAAAACAAACACACTTACAAATGCACGACTGTCTTTACAACATGTGTGTGTGTGTGTTCCGAGTAGGGCTGCACAATATATCATCTCAGCATCGATGAGCGATGTAGACTTATACATAATAGTTTAAATTTACTCAGTTATAATAGCTGCAATTTTGACTTCAACTGTATATCGCAAATATTGCAATGTCAGTTGTTTCCAGTGTTGTGCAGCCCTATTTCTGAGGTGTTGCTTTACACACCTGAGCATTTTGTGCAGTTTGCTGGGCGTCATACCGCTGCCATTGTCCGTGAAACTGAGGCACAGCTGATCTCTGACCGTCACAACATCAATCCAGATGTTCTTGGCTGTGACGCCCGGGTCAGACGCATTATCTGGAATGCACATGCACACAAACACATGCAGAAAAACAGCATCATTCAGATAATGCGAGAAAGAAAACGTAAGCAATTGCATTCTTTAATGTGCATGCATTGCAGCTTGCTCAAAGCCACATCGTGATAATATACCATATTCTGTGATCAAAGTGTCAGTAATTAATCGCTATGAACATCTTTGATACGAGCAGAGGTCTAGAATAGGGTAAAATGTATGCATGTGTGTTTAGCTTTTTTATTTATTTATTTATTTATTTAAATTAATTAATCAATCAAATAAATAAATAATAATATATTTATTTATGTATTTGTTTGTGTATGTATGATTGTATTTATTTCAGTGTCTATTTATTTATTTATTTGTGTATGTATGATTGTATTTATTTATTTATTTATTTTTGAATGTGTCTATTTATTTATTTGTATGATTGTATTTATTTATTTATTTATGTGTGTCTATTTATTTATTTATTTGTGTATGTGTGATTGTATTTATTTATAAATTTATAATTTTTTTGTGTATTTATTTATTTATTTGTGTATGTATGATTGTATGTATTTATTTATTAATTTTTGTGTGTGTCTAATTATTTATTTATTTGTGTCTGTATTATTGTATTTATTTATTAATTTATAAATTTTTTGTGTGTATTTATTTATTTATTCGTGCATGTATGATTGTATTTATTTATTTATTTATTTTTGTGTGTGTCTAATTATTTATTTATTTGTGTCTGTATTATTGTATTTATTTATTTAATTTTTTTTATTCATTTATGAGTGTATTAATTAATTAATTAATTAATTAATTTCAATTCAATTCAATTCAATTCAGCTTTATTTGTATAGCGCTTTTACAATGTAGATTGTGTCAAAGCAGCTTCACATAAATGGTCATAGTAACTGGAACAGTGTGGTTCAGTAACTGGAACAGTGTAGTTCAGTTTTTAGTGTTTAAGTTCAGTTTAGCTCAGTTCAGAGCTAATAATAATTTATTTATTTATTTATGATTGTATTTATTTATTTATGAGTGTCTATTTATTTATTTATTTATTTATTTATTTATTTATTTATTTATTTATGTGTGTGTCTAATTATTTATTTATTTGTGTCTGTATTCTTGTATTTATTTATTTTTATTTTTTTATTTATTTATGTGTGTGTCTATTTATTTTATTTATTTGTTTATTTATATGTATGACTGCATTTATGTATTTATTTAATTATGTGTGTCTATTTATTTGTTTATTTGGATGTCTATTTAGTTATTTATTTATTTGTGTATGTATGATTGTATTTATTTATTTATATTTATATATTTATTTAAGTATGTCTGTTTATTTATTAATTTATTTGTATTTATTTGTTATTATTATTTATTTGTAATTAATTTTATTTATTTATTTGTGTATGTATGATTGTTTTTATTAATTAATTAATTTATTTATTTATTTGTGTGTATATTTATTTATTTATTTATTTATTTATTTATTTATGTGGAAGTCTATTTATTTATTTATTTATTTATTTATCTATCTATTTGTGTATGTATAATTGTATTTATTTGTTTATTTATTTATGTATGATTTTATTTATTTATTTATTTATCCTACTCAGTTGTGTGCATAATTTATAAACATTTTTTGCACACTTTCTAAAATTTATGCACATCTTGGGATTTGATTAAACATATTTTTATGCAATATTCCCACATGCACAAAAATATAGGATGATTATAATAGCTGGTAAAGTAACCCTTTTTTCAGCTTGTGGGTTCATATCGTGATAATATACAGTATATCGTGATAAAAGTGTAAGTATTTAATCGCTGTAAACATCTTTGATACTGTACCAGCAGAAGTCTACAGTCAAATCTATGCAGGTGTGCTTTGCTCTTTCTTTTTGCGATGCTATTTGTTTTTCTGCAACACTCCTAATCTGCCAGCATTTGCAAAATAGCAGAACTTCTAAATTTAACTTATAACCTACAACCTAAAAAGCAGACGCAAAAACCGTTTAACAGGATGTGGAGAGGAAACTGCACATGCATTAAGACGGGTTTAGTTAAAACCTCACTTCTTGATTATTAATATGATTAAAGAGGAGCACGTTTTGAAATAGTTCCTGCATCTAACGGTACTGAAAATCCAATGCTGAGAGCTTCACATATTTCCAGCAGCTTTTACCATTATACATCTACAGTATCTCTACTCGTATAGCATGGTAAACCACAGGTGTAGGTCACACAGTAAATATCCTCTTTGGGTTTCACAAACACTGTGACTAGATCGTGTTTTTTTACATCTATATTTTCGGCAAACCCAACAAAACAAACATACAAGTGTGTATTTAGCATCTTCCTGTACATCAAATGCAACTTGCTTTGCTATTTTACATTTATTATAATAATTATATTATAATATTATTACTTAATATTAGTGTTGCTCTGTGTTTTACTATAGTAATTTATAGTAAATACTATGGTGATTTTGAACCATACTATAGTAAAGTGTATTATATTATATATATTTTAGCATTAATAACTTTGTTAATAAATTCACCAGCATGCTGTAGTATTAACTATCAGATAAACTGTAATAAATACTGTAGTATATTTCAGTTTTACTACAGTAAACTTTGGTGCATTGTATTTTAATATACCCTATAGTTCACCCTATAGTTGTAGCATCTTTCTTTACATTAAATACAACATGTTTAGATATTTTTACATTTATTTAGTGTACTTTAGTGTTTTACTATAGTAATTTATAGTAAATAATATGGTGTTTTTCAACCGCACTATAGTAACGAGTACTATACTGTGTATATTAAAGTATTTACAAGTCTTTGTTAATGAATGCTTCAGCATAATGTAGTATTAACTATTAGATATTCTTCGCATTATGTCATTTGTTTATAATTTATAGTTTAATTCAAGTACTTTACTACAGTATTGCACATTATAAAATATTATAGTAATTGACAGTAATACTATAATGCTTTTGATCCATACTATGGTAAAAGTACTTGTTTTGTTATTTCTACAGTTGCTAAAATAACCCAACAACTAAAGTTATATAAACAATTGACCCAACACTGTGGTGTTCAATAGGGATATACCAAAAAAAAACAGTTTACTGTAGTATAAACTAATGTATACTCCAGTATTTATGACAGTTTATCAGTTCACTTTAGTTAATACTGCAGTACGCTGAAGTGTTTATTAATAAAGAGTTAATACAGTACAATACACCTTACTATGGTATTGTTCACATTAAACGCTACAGTATTGACTGTAAAATACTTTAGCATTCATTAATAAAGAGTTGTAAGTACAGTAAAATAAATTTTACTATGGTATGGTTTACATTAAACACTACAGCATTTACTGTAAAATACTTTAGGATTCATTAATGATATGTTGTATATACAGTACAATACACTTTACTATGGAAAGGATCACTACTATAAAACAGAATACTTTAGCAGTCATTAGTGGTGTTGCAAATGCAGTACAATACACGTTACTTAATATTGTTCAAATACACTATAGTAATTGACTATACTATAGTATAGTATAGTATAGTATAGTGTAGTTTAGTATAATATAGTATAGTATATTATATTATAGTATAGTGTAGTATAATATAGTATAGTATATTATAGTATATTATAGTATAGTATAATATAGTATGTTATAGTGTAGTTTAGTATAATATAGTATAGTATATTATAGTATAGTATAGTGTAGTATAGTATAATATAGTACGTTATAGTGTAGTTTAGTATAATATATTATATTATAGTATAGTATGCTCTATTATATTATAGTGTAGTATAGTATATTATATTATAGTATGGTATATTAAAGTATATTATAATATAGTGTAGTTTAGTATAATATAGTATAGTATATTATAGTATAGTATAGTGTAGTATAGTATAATATTGTACGTTATAGTGTAGTTTAGTATAATATAGTATAGTATATTATAGTATAGTGTAGTTTAGTATAATATTGTACGTTATAGTGTAGTTTAGTATAATATAGTATAGTATATTATAGTATAGTGTAGTATAGTATAATATTGTACGTTATAGTGTAGTTTAGTATAATATAGTATAGTATATTATAGTATAGTATGCTGTATTATATTATAGTATAGTATATTATAGTGTAGTATAGTATATTATATTATAGTATGGTATATTAAAGTATATTATAATATAGTGTAGTTTAGCATAATATAGTATAGTATACTATAGTATAGTATATTATAGTTTAGTATGGAATAATATATTATTTTATAGTGTAGTATATTGTAGTATAGTATAGTTTAGTATAGTATATTATATAGTGTAGTATAGTATAGTATGGTATATTATATTATAGTATATTATATTATAGTGTAGTTTAGTATAATATAGTATAGTATAGTTTAGTATAGAATAATATATTATTTTATAGGGTAGTATAGTATAGTATATTATAGTGTAGTATAGTATAGTATAGTATATTGTAATAAAGGATAGTTTAGAATAGTATATTATATAGTGTAGTATAGTATAGTTTCGTATATTATAGTGTAGTATAGTATAGTATATTATAGTGTAGTATAGTATAGTGTAGTATATTATAGTGTAGTATAGTATAGTGTAGTATATTATAGTGTAGTATAGTATAGTGTAGTATATTGTAATAAAGGATAGTTTAGAATAGTATATTATATAGTGTAGTATAGTATAGTTTCGTATATTATAGTGTAGTATAGTATAGTATATTATAGTGTAGTATAGTATAGTATGGTATATTATATTATAGTATATTATATTATAGTGTAGTTTAGTATAATATAGTATAGTATAGTTTAGTATAGAATAATATATTATTTTATAGGGTAGTATAGTATAGTATATTATAGTGTAGTATAGTATAGTGTAGTATATTATAGTGTAGTATAGTATAGTGTAGTATATTGTAATAAAGGATAGTTTAGAATAGTATATTATATAGTGTAGTATAGTATAGTTTCGTATATTATAGTGTAGTATAGTATAGTATATTATAGTGTAGTATAGTATAGTTTAGTATAATATAGTATGGTATATTAGTATATATTTAACATAGTATTATAAATACTTAAGCATTCATTATTGAAAAGTTGTAAATACAGCACAATAGACTTTACTATGGTATTGTTCAAAAACACTAGTATTTACTATAAAATACTTTAGCATTCATTAAGAGTTGTAAGTACAGTAAAAGACACTTACTGTGATATGGTTTACGTTAGGTACTATAGTATTTACTATAAAATACTTTAGCATTCATTAATCGAGTTGTAAATACAGTAAAATAGACTTAACTATGTTATTATTCACATTAAGCACTGCAGTATTTACTATAAAATACTTTAGCATTCATTAATAAAGAGCTGTAAATGCACTTTACTATGGTTCAAAACACTACAGTATTTCTTTTAAATTATTATATTATTTTATGTGGCACAGATAGTTTAAATACACTGACTTTCAGACACTGTAAAAGTGCAGAAAAACACAAAAGGCATTATTATTCTCATCACATATCTCTAATAAAACAGTTCGCTTGTGTGTATTTCCTCATATTATCTACAACAGGTGCGCACACGTCCAGCACTGTGTGTGTGTGTGTGTGTGTGTGTGTGTGTGTGTGTGTGAGTGTGTGTGAGTGTGCTGTCTACGAGCGGAAGTTTAAAGCGAAAGTAGCAGTTCCTGAGAGAGAAATAAAGTAGTTTTCCCTGCGATTTATAAAGGTGTGTGTGTGTGTGTTTTGAGTGTGTTTTGCGCTCACCGATGAGTTCTGCAACCGCGCTGAAGGGCCATGTGTGGCTGGTGGAGTTGCTCTCCAGGTACGACGGGCTCATCTGCAGAAAATATCAGCATTCATGATCTTCTAACAGTGTAATAATGCAGAGTTTAGATAGTTTAGAGAGAGATAATATACGCACAGAGCTCAGCCGGATCCCGTGTTCGCTCAGTCTCGCCATCATGAGGGTGAAAACACACGTCAGATGAGCTGAGATGCAGGAGGCTCATTCCTCATGCACAGACAGCGCTTCCTCATTTACTGTGTGTGTGTGTGTCTGTGTGTGTTTGTGTGACGCGACACGCCCACCCTGAACTGCTGCTGCTGCACTCAAGTAAATAACATCATCTCTCGTTCTTTCTTTTATTTACCATTAGTCTTTTTAAATCGTATGCTTTTATGTTTGTTTTGTTATTGCATAAATGAGATGTTTATAAAAATTAAAAAACATTTTTGTTTTGTATGAACACGTGCTCCTGTGCTCATAAAGGGATGGACATGGTCAGCAACTATACTCAGGTAGGCTGTGGCGTTGACACCATGCTCAGTTGGTACTAATGGACCCAGAGAAAATCTCCCCCACACCATTACACCACCACTACCAGCCTGAACCGCTGATACAAGGCAGGATGATCCATGCTTTCATGTTGTTGAGGCCAAATTTTGACCCGATCATCTGAATGTGGCAGCAGAAATGGAGACTCATCAGAGCAGGCAACGTTTCTCCAATCTTCTATTGTCCAGTTTTGGTGAGTCTGTGTGAATTGTAGCCTCAGTTTCCTGTTCTTAGCTGACAGGAGCGGCACCCGGTGTGCTCTTCTGCTGCTGTAGCCCATCCGCCTCAAGGTTGGACGTGTTATGTGTTCAGAGATGCTCTTCTGCAGAGCTCGGTTGTAACGAGTTCTTATTTGAGTTACTGTTGCCTTTCTGTCAGCTGGAACCAGTCTGGCCATTCTCCTCTGACTTCTGGCATTAATAAGGCATTTGCACCCACAGAACTGCCGCTCACTGGATATTCCCTCTTTGTCCGAGCATTCTCTGTAAACGCTAGAGATGGTTGTGCATGAAGTTCCCAGTAGATCAGCAGTTTCTGAAATACTCAGACCAGCCCGTCTGGCACCAACAACAATGCTGCGTTCAAAGTCACTTAAATCCCCTTTCTTCCCCATTCTGATGCTCGCTTTGACCTGCAGCAGATCGTCTTGACCATGTCTACATGCCTATATGCATTTAGCTGCTGCTATGTGATTGGCTGTTTAAAGTTTGCATCAGGAGCAGTTGGACAGGTGTACCTAAAAAAGTGGCCGGTGAGTGTAAATACACACATGCATGCATATATTTGAGAAAAGGTTTATTTATATTCAAATACAAGACTTACATATATATATATATATATATATATATATATATATATATATATATATATATATATATATATATATATATATATATATACACACACACACACAAATTATATATACATTTAAATATCTATTTAACTAAACTATTTTGTGTATATATATTTTTTCTATGTATGTGTGCATATATATAAATATATATATATATATATATATATATATATATATATATATATATATATATATATATATATATATATATATATATACTGTGAAGGGATATTTTTGTAAAATGCAGACAGAAAACAAGCTTTTTCGTACAGTCCAAGGTCAAAGTTGCACACATTGTAGCACTCCTATGGTCAGGAGTTAGAAAACCACAACAAGACATTTTCTTTTCCAGCAGAAATGTATCTTTACTTTGGCACAAATGTGAGCGTGTGTGCATAGGAAAGTATTAAACTGACACTTGAAAAAACTGAGACAGTTTCCTACACATTCTGTTTGTATGTGCGTGTGTGAGCGCGCACACATGTGTGTGTGTGTGTGTGTGTATGTGTTTGTGTGTGTGTGTGACAGATGTCATCCTGTTTTAATAAACTACTTTTTTGCTTTGCTCTAACCCTTGTCTGACTGAAGCCATTTTTGCTGATTTCCATGACAAATACCTACAGTTAATTATTAAATCCCCTGATTATTTTCACAGAATTTCTGTTTAGCGGAGAGCAGATTTTTTTTCAACACATTACTAATCATAATAGTTTTAATAACTCATCTCTAATAACTGATTTATTTTCTCTGATGACAGTAAATAATATTAGACTAGATATTCTTCAAGACACTTCTATACAGCTTAAAGTGACATTTAAAGACTTAACTAGGGTAATTAGGGTAACTAGGCAGGTTAGGGTAATTAGGCAAGTTATTGTATAACGATGGTTTGTTCTGTAGACTATCGAGAAAAACATAACTTAAAGGAGCTAATAATTGTCCTTAAAATGGTGTTTAAAAAATCAAAAACTGCTTTTATTCTAGCCGAAATAAAACAAATGAGTTTCTCAAGAAGAACAAATATTGGCCAATATTGGTTCCAGTATAAACAATAATAAAGGTAAATTTTGTGAGTTAAATTTGTGACACTTTTTAACCCAACAGTTGTGTTTGTCCATATTTGACCCAACATTGAGTTACAAACAACTCATTATGAAAGCACCTCATACACCTCGACCCAAAAGCACAAAAACAACAGCAGACGAGAGTAAATAAAGTGGCATTTAATTAAACCATGCTGCATAATAACAGTATGTTGTTCTCTGGAATACTATCGCAACACTGCTGTACAATTCACAGAATCTGACAGAACAGTGAGTTTAATAAGGGATCTGCATTTGATCAGGATTTTCTCTCGTTTGTTTATTGTTTGGTGGCGTAGAAAAGCCCCCAGCGCTGATCTCCAGTCTCGCAGCGTTGCAGTTTCTCAGTCCATCCGCTCACAATGGCATCAAAATCCTCCTTGGAGAACTCCTGTGTAAGGAGACAACAGCTTATTCACGCTACCATTAATACAAATATGCCCTACTGCTCACTAAGGGAAGTTTGATGAACAGATTTTGAAAGGATCACATGCTATGATTGCGTACTCAATTACTAACCCACCAATCAGATGCATTCAAATGCATTTAAATATTCCACCTTCCTTACTTTTGTCATCCTAGTTTTTTCGACAACCCCCTCTTGCACAACGACTCCTTCCATTCCTTTCTAATCCAATAGCAGGGGAGTTCTTGAGAGCTCAGACTCTTGAACTCTTGAAGTTCAGCTTATTAACCCTTGTGTTTTCAAATTGACTCCCCTTTCATTATGTTGGAGGCTGTTTTTGCCCCATTGACTTCCATTATAAGCACATTTATTGACTGCAAAGTTTTTTTTTGGTGTTTTTCCCTGTTAATATAGACCATTTTGAGGGATGTAAACAAAACAACGGTCCCATTGTATTTTCTGTTTTACATTTTTAATATTTATAGCTTCCGAGAATGCAAAAACAGATGCATAATAATGAATAATGTCATGACCGCTGTTTTAACATTAAGTTATGATTGAATTGCCTCTTGATACAGTTATGAAATAGTTTGATAACATGCAGGACATGTTCATGGACCAATGACATGACAACATTGAAATGGGCTATAGTAATATTAATAATTATTAATTATATAATAATAATAATAATAATAATAATAATAATAATAATAGGCGAGGCAGTGGCGCTTTAGGTAGTGCTGTCGCCTCACAGCAAGAAGGTCGCTGGATCGCTGGTTCGAACCTCGGCTCAGTTGGTGTTTCTGTGTGGAGTTTGCATGTTCTCCCTGTCTTCGCGTGGGTTTCCTCCGGGTGCTCCGGTTTCCCCCACAGTCCAAACACATGCGGTACAGGTGAATTGGGTAGGCTAAATTGTCTGTAGTGTATGAGTGTGTGTGTGGATGTTTCCCAGAGATGGGTTGCGGCTGGAAGGGCATCCGCTGTGTAAAAACTTGCTGTATAAGTTGGCGGTTCATTCCACTGTGGCGACCACGGATTAATAAAGGGACTAAGCCGACAAGAAAATGAATAAATGAAATAATAATAATAATATGAGCTAGGGGCAGCACAGTGGCGCAGTGGGTAGTACGATCGCCTCACAGCAAGAAGGTTGCTGGTTCGAGCCTTAGCTGATTCAGTTGGCATTTCTGTGTGGAGTTTGCATGTTCTCTCCGTGTTAGCATGGGTTTCCTCCTGGTGCTTTGGTCCAAAGACACATGGCATAAGCAAATAGGGAAGGCAAAACTGTCCGTAGTGTGCATGTGTGAATGAGATGTCTCCCAGTACTGGGTTGCAGCTGGAAGAGCATCCGCGGTGTAAAACACATGCTGGAATAGTTGGTGGTTCATTCCGCCGTGGTGACCTCAAATTAATAAAGGGATTAAGCCTTAAAGAAAATGTATGAATGCTAAATAATATGAGCTGCATGGTGGCTTAGCACTGTGGCCTCACAGCAAGAAGGTTGCTGTTTTGAGTCCCGGCTAGGCCAGTTGGTTTTTCCATGAGGAGTTTGCATGTTCTCCCTGTGTTGGCGTGGGTTTCCCCCACAGTCCAAACACATGCGCTTTAGGGGAATTTATGAAGTAAATTGGCCATAGTGTATGAGTGTGTGTGTGAATGGGTGTGTATTGGTGTTTCCCAATATTGGATTGCGAGTAGAAGGGCCTCTCCTGCATAAAAAAAATATGCTGGAATAGTTGGTGGTTCATTCCGCTGTGGCATCCCCTGATAAATAAGGCACTAAGCCGAAGGAAAATGAATGTATGCATATTATATATTAATAATAATAATGTATAAGTCACACATTTTTAATGGCTCTAACAGGGAAAAAGCGGAAATAAATACTGTATTTCCTCCAGCAGTGTGTATGCAAATATAATGCAGGTGTTGCACGAGTGTGTGTGTGTGTGTTTACCTGTATAAACTCGTCCTTCATCTCTTCGGCTCTCTGCAGTTCAGACTTTATGACCTGGATAAACTGCTCGGTTCTGTCCTCTGCTCGGACATTACTGAATCCCACCTCTCTCAGGAACTGAACACACACACACACACACTTATATCATCAAGGTCATGCTGCACAAACACTCTTTCTGTTCTTCTGCCAGCTTTTTTTGGCACGTACAGTGCAACAGTGACCGATATCATCAGTGTTGCATAACAGATGAGCACTAAATCTCAATAAAAACAAGCTTTTTAGGCTTTTATGAGGCTAATAGGGCGACACGGTGGCTCAGTGGTTAGCGCTCACAGTAAGAAGGTTGCTGGTTCGAGTCCCAAGTGGGCCAATTGGCATTTCTGTGTGGAGTTGGCGTGGGTTTTCCCCCCAGTCCAAACACATGCACTATAGGGGAATTG